TAAATGTGTTTATGAAATGAATATCTGTAATTAAAATTATAACATTAATTATGATTAGATAGTTTATAAAAGAAGATGATAAGCAAATTAAGAAATATTACACCTAAATAATAAATGGATGGCTAAGAATAATCATACATGTCACAATAACCAACATCGATCCCATGCATCTTGAATTCACAATTCAATGCCTTGCAAGAGCCTATTGTGTAAACCCTATTTCCAATAAATTAAGAAAAATCTTGCAACATAGAAGCCATAAACTCACTATTTAAAAAAAAACAAAAAAAAAAAAACCTATTGCATGACATATAGGATGCTGATGAGCTAGCAAGACTGATTGGCAACTGTAAAATTGTTTAAATGAAATTAAAAAAAAATATATTTAATCCTGAATCTGTTGCATTTGTTCAATCATCATGTTCTATGTGTTCATGAATGTGTTTGGTTTGAATATAAAACATTTTGACGTAATGATTATCGTTAATGTACCCAATTGTAAAAGCAACATGTTCATTCCATGGCAGAGGACTAGATCGAAGTGGAAAGAGTGTCAGGCTACCTATAGTTGTTAAAAAATATAGTATCACATTGCATTTTGAAGCAATCAACAAGCCTGTTTCAAAAACATCCACCCAATGCTCATTTGGTGCAAATGAGTCCAGCTCAAAGAAGTTATAAAGTTGATACCGTAGTTCAATGTCATACACCTCGAGATATTTTGTTTTGTACATGTTTAACTCCTACATTAAATCACATCGAATAGATGGCTATTCATCTTCGTGGAGACTGAGACAAACAGCTATCGTTCGAACAGTTTCCAATCGCCTTTTACATCTTGTACCTGTGTGATGTAAAAGTGAAAATTATTTAAAAATTGATTAATACATTGAAATAAAAAAAATTAACTTGCATGAACTACGTTACGTACCTGTACGATGTTAGGATGAAAAATACTTGGAAATTGATTAATGTCTGGATGTGCATAATTTTTTTGATCGAAGTATGAACTATGTCTCATTTGTTCATTGTTCACCAAAATATCAAAGTCCACAAATATTGATGCATCTGGACAACTATGCCTATGAGGTTCCTGAGTTGGTGGGTCGACATTGAAAATCGTTTTTCCGACTAGAAATTAACAAGTTCGAAATCGTAAAGAAAAAAGAATGTTGAAATGGTTACTTGTGAATGAAAATACAAATTTCACTTCTCTTTTTATGGATTATTTTCTGAATTTTTAAAGTTGCAGAAGGATTAATGATATATTCTATGAAAATATAGATAAAAAAATTAAGAATTTACATATGAATTTTTAAAGTTTTTATTCAATTTTTATAAGGACAAACTATACGACTTTATACATATGGTTAAAATTTGTAAAACTATAAAATAAATGATATATTATTTTTTATAAATAACAAAGCTTATTGCTTTCCGATTTATTAGTTTTAAATTTGATTAATATATAATACACATAAAAATTATAATTACTATAAATTAATAATTATTATTATCTATTAATTTTTAAAAAAGTAAGAGAGAGAGGGGGAATATAAGAGAGAAAAAGTTTTTCAAACTTTTAGGCAATTTAATGTTATTAATAGGTATTTTTTGACTTTTTTAATAGGTGTTATTTACACCACCACCTATTAAAAAAGTCAAAAGAAAACCTATTAATAACATTAAATGGTCTAAAATTTTGAATTTTTTTTTTCTCTCTCTTATGTTTCTTCTCTCTCTCTTTCTAAATTTTTTGTTTTATTAATTAATAGATAATAATTATTATTGGTCTATAATTAATTATAATTTTTATTTGTATTATATATTAATCAAATTTAAAACCAATAAATTGGAAAGACAATAGCTTTGTTATTTATAGAAAATAATGTATCATTTATTTTATAATTTTACAAATTTTAACCATATATATATAGTCATATAATTTGCGGTTATAAAAATCGAATAAAAACTTTGAAAATTCATATGCAAATTCTTAATTTTCATTTTATCTATATTTTCATAGAAGATATCATTAATTTTTCTGCAACTTTAAAAATTCAGAAAATAATCCATAATTTTTTTCCACTTTAAACGTAAAAAGTAATTAATTAAATCTTATTTAAGTTTTTGAATATTCAAATAATAATTTAATTAGTTTTCAACAATTTCTAAAAATTCAGCTAATAACTCGTCGTTTTTTAATTAAAAATTCAAATATTAAATTAGTTTAAATTGTGTTATGTTTTTTTTATAAAAAAAAACAATATTGTTATACTAAAAATATATAAAAAACAAATTTTGAAAACATAAGCTTAGAGGTGGTTGGAAGAAAAAAATTGATTTCTTGAAAATGTTAATGAACTAAATGTTAATTTAGTGAACTTGATATTAGTTAAGTGAAGTGATGTGTATTTTATTATTGCTATAAAAAGGGAAGTGAAATTTGTATTTTCATTCACAAGTAATAATTTCAACATTCTCTCTTTACGATTTCAAGCTTGTTAATGGCTAGTTGGAAAAACGATTTTCAATTTTATCGAGATTACAATGCTGAGGTACTTTCACTTACTATTTGCGATTTTTTTTGCTAGTTTGTAAAATATAGTTTTTTTTATGCATGTGCATGTTTAGAAATATGATATTTACATAAACCAAACAACTTCCTCTGACGATTTGCATTTTTATCAAAATTCCAATGCAGAAAAAGAGTGCGAGTAATCAGATGTGACTCAAGTTCGGCAGGGGGCGTGCAAGGGTTTGATAAAAATGACCATTTTACCCTTCAGTCTATATTTTTTATTAATAACTATATATTGTTTCCACTCCATTGATTTGTGCCAACTCAATATAAAAAAGAACCCAACTCAAAATCAAAACCCTAAATCTATATCAAAAAACTTTCCTTCGTATTTTCAATCATCTATTCACATCTCCATTTTTTTCTTTGAACCAACCCTAAAAAAAAACCTCCATTCGTTGTTACTGTTTTCTCGGCAATGGAGATGCACAAGTAGACATGGACCAACATTTTTATTTCCTTTTTATAGTTCGATGGAGAATAGATGTAAACCAAGTCGAAGTAGATCCATGGGGTGAGGAGAGACAGAGGTTTCCCATCCAATGATAGATGCACGAATGAAAGTTGCAGAAAAAGAGTGCGAGTAAAAGAGGGCATAGGAGGGGAAGGGAGCGGTGATGGAGGTCCAGATTGGGGGTTTTCCAGAATCGACATCATTTGTGATGCTTGAAGTTGAGAAGAAAACGTAGCCAACAGTTCACCATCAGGCCTTTGCCTAAAACTCTCTCATTTTTCTTCTGTTGGATCTTCACACGGTATTGTCATTTCGAAAACCATAGGAAGAAATCGAAAACCTAGAAACAATCGAAAACTATAGGGAGAGATCAAAAACCTTTGTAAGAACAAACCATAGGAAGAAATCGAATCACAGGGAGAAAAGGTTTTCAGCTGGAACTTGGAAGTGTGAACTGGATCAAGAAAAGACCGGTTGATTTCATATAAAGGGAGAAGAAGACGAAATAAGGGGAAGGGTATAAAAGGAATAAATGGCCGAATGTATATGAATCCACTTTTGTAGCTGAACGATTCAGCCATGGACTGACCGAATAAGCCCATACCGAACAGTTAGATATGGCTGTGCGAATAAGTCATATGGTTTATACAGCCCATTAAGCCGCAACCGAACAACGCCTTAGAGATTAAGTGGGACAACATGTTTTTGTGACACCACCTTAAATGAGTACCTATCTGTTACGAGCACCATCTACAATAGGAGTGCCCATGCCATTTATATACCTAGTAATAACTGTTTTGGCGGTATGAATTTGCTTTATATCTAACACATATATCAGACCAAATATTGGTTTGGTTGCAATCAAATTTCAAGTGTGACAATCTACGACTTATATCCTCGTCAAGTTCATTTAGCTCATACAATAAAACTTGTGCCATCCCACTCAAAGACCACGAGTTCGAATCATATCCCTTGAAGGCCACTGAATATTTTCTTGGTTGTTCTCCGCAATCCTAGGAGATTAATCGTACAAGTTGGGCTAAATCACAAGATTTAATAGAAGAAGGTTTACCCTCTCACCATGCATATCAACATTTAACCATGGTTAAAGAGTACCTTCTACCTTACATCCTTCTCATCCACAATTGAATCCATTTTACATCATTACACAATTACGAGCGACATCGAGTTTTATCAAGATAACTCATCCCACTTAATTGCTAATAAAAAATCAAAAACATAATACAACCAATAAGTTAGTAAAAATACAGGCAACAAAAACTAATACATCTACTACGTAATTTTGACCCAAAAGCTAGACTAGAATCCACTTGACAAATTCTATTTCATCTTAGATTTGTCAAATCAAGAAACCACTGAATATCGCTTTCAATTCAATGGTTTCTACTTTGAAAAACCATTATGTAGTAGCCCTCAAATAGACACCGATACCATCGATATAATAGCTAGCAATGCCATAAAATCCAGCAAACGAACCTTTGTTCCATGGCACTGAGAAACAAGTTCCTGTTGCAGAACCAAAAGGTCCATGGTTCCTTTTGTTTGTTACGAAAGACAACGATGAGATTGTCTTCCCAATATGTGTCCCACTTGAGACCCTAAATGTTCCGTTAATTTCAATTATTTCTTCGTCCCAAAACAGGTTAACCTGAAAAAGACAACACTATTAGGGTCCGTCTGCTTTGCAAATATGGAATGGAATTGGAGGAACTTGGATTTCGAATCCGTTCCTATCCGGTGTTTGGTATGCAGGATTGTCTGGAATTGAAATCATAGGATTCTGTTGAAATCCCTCAAACATAGGATTTTGAAATCCCACAAGGATGGTTGGGATTTTACGAAATTGTATATAATAATGTTTTAAATTATGTTAAAATTCATTAATAAAAAGTTAATTTAATTATTCTTATAATTACTTGTAGTTTGTTTTTATAAATTATTTATAGAAAATGGAATTCCATTCCATTCCTAATACATCAAATATTCCAAATCCAAATCCAAATCCAAATCCAAATCCAAATCCAAATCCAAATCCAAATCCCTCTAATTCCAAATCTTTCCACGAAATCCAAATCCCTCAAAACCATTCCATTAGACCGAACGGCCCCTTAGTCAAATTTCCAATTAGTACAGCATCGAGCATAATACACAGGTAAAATACATTATAAAGATGTTTCTGACAAGACCCCCGGCAGCCATTATTACTACAACAAAATTGGTCTTTTACGCCCGACCATCCTTGGACATCTTAACAGAGTACTTAATAGGACTTTATTTTTATAAGACAGAATTGTTTGTCCTATATATCTAAAATCGTTACAATAAAATGTTAGGATGATCATAGGTGATTACAAGTTCTATTGACAAAGTTAAACAAACTAACAGGACACAATATGACAATTTTGAGAAGTGTCATTTTAGGTTATCCAAACTTTGTAGATAATATTTGTTAGTCTCCCTAACCTCGTTCTAACAACTTATTACAACATTTTTAGATAGGATGCTAGTTTTTGGTCTTATAGACTTAAAGTCCCATCAAGTGTTCTATCATAATGCTTATCCGTCCTAAAACACCCATTTTGTTGTAGTGCGTTTTTCCGAGCTAAAATGACCAAATTCAAAGCAACATAGAAATTTGACAGGCGGAGTTATTATAGCATGCTTACTCAAAGTTTTTGAACAAGTATTTAGCATCAATTTAAGATACATTACCTCAGAAATCGTGGATCCATCACTATAACCACCAGCCTTGTTAGAGACATGCACAGAACCCATACAATCTTCACTAGTGAAGATGAGGGAAGATATCATATCACCATGATCTATAGTTATCTTCGTCAGCTTATGATTTTTCTCGAGACAAAATGACCACCGATACTGTGGACCCGTGCTAGACTCTGTTCCCCATAATCCAACCCTGGCAGTTTCCTGAGATGCCTTCAAATAGACACCAATGCCATCAATGTAATAGCCAGCAAGCCCATAAAATCCAGCAAACGAACCTTTGTTCCATGGTACTGCAAAAGGAGTCCCTGTTGCTTTACCAAAAGGCCCATGGGTTCTTTTGTTTGTTAGGAAAGACAACGACGAAATTATTGTGTAACCAGGAAATTCCCCGGTTGATACCCCGACCGTTCCATCAATGCCAATTATCTCCTCATCAACATCAAATGTAACCTAAGCACGCCCCGGAAAACAAAGTTATTTTCTGAAAAGAAATTAACAAATTTAATAATTCATGACAATATACCAATAAGCAGGGGAGGACCCACTCTATTGGATACGGTGGCACAGGTCATCAAGTCGTTCCTTCGTCATGTGTAAAAATTATAAGGCCGTGAAAGGTGTCTGCCATATCATTTTGTTCTGTGCAACCGTATATATTTTGAAACTACATTGAAGACATAAATTTCCCTTGGTAGAGTTGGTTTGCATGACTTTTTCCTACCCAAGACGCAGGTTCGAATCCAGTTTGAGTAATTTTCTTAGTTCTTAGCATTTAATTTCAAATTTATTAAGTTTATGAAAAAAAAATTGCAATAAAAGACTTGAAAGCAAAGATCTCACATACGAAAAACAAAGAACTAACCAACAGACCAATGATGATTTTGTGAAAAATATCTATATAGTTGTTTCTTATAATCATATTAAATGGTGCCACCACTTCAAAAAATTCCTAGGTCCGCCTCTACCATTAGTGTGAAGGTTGTTTGTGCAAACAACTTCAACTGAAAACAAATATCCCATGAATCAGGATCCGGTGAGTACCTATTTATACCGTTTGTGTGTAAACTTCTATATACTGGAAGTGTACAATCGTACTTGGCATTTGGTTACAAACTAACAACTGTTCACTATAACAAAATCATGTTTATAGCTAGGATGCAGAAAATATTTGTGTGTCCTAATAGATTGCTTATATCACTTAAGTTTGTAGTACCAAACAATTGTATGTCCTACGTAAAAGCTTTGCAATAAGTTTATAGGACGTTCTTGAGCATCTTAACAAGTTTTTAGGACACTTATGATATAAAATGTCTTATCAACTTTTTTATATGATTATTTGAGAGAGTTGTCTTCTAAAAAACGTCTAGTCCAGTGTTCATAGAACTTTTTTCAAAGTTGTAATGTAACATTAATATAAACATTTTTTGTTTAAAAGGGTAAGGTTCTCACCTCACACACTATGCATCCACCATTCCAGCCACCTGCTTTTTCTGAATCATGGAAACATCCCCTTCCATCTTCAGTTGTGTACATGAGAGAATATATTAGATCACCATGATCTATGGTTATCTTCTTAAGCTTATGATTATTCTCAAGTAGGAAAGACCAGCGATTTTGCTCAGATCCTTTTGATTTTGTTCCCCATATTCCTACTTGTGCAACTTCTTTACGTACCTTGCAATAACAAATAAAATATACAAGTCCAATGTAGTGTAAGTAAAAGATGGAATTAAAACCATAAAAATCATTCAAAATGGAACATAAGTTGCATTGTACAATCCTTTCGTGATAAACTTGTCTTAAGCACAATTCATATTCAAAACTTGACGGCAGTTCAAACGGTAAAACTTCGGGTTTGCTCCCCAGATGTTACCGGTTCAAGTCCCCAGAGGGCCACTGTCAGGTTGTTAACTTCAAGCGTCATGGGATAAGTCGAGGTGTGTACAACCTGGCCCGGACACCCACTGTTACCAAAACAATTCATGTTTGCTAAACTACGTTCTAATTGTTAAAATGTGATGCAAAACTGAAAGTATATTTTCTAGAGTACTCTTTTGGAGGAGATAGATTTCTAGAGAATCTTTTGGGAAGATATTTTCTAGAGAAATCTTTTGGGACATAGGTAGTACCTTCTAGAAGATTCCTTAGGAAAATGAGAGGTCATCCTTGTGTCTATAAATACCTATCACCCGTACCCATTTGAGACAATCCCCAACACATTAGAGTGTGAGCATATTTGAGTAGTGAGAGCCACACTTTATTCATCCAATAAAGAGGATCGACATTTGTAAGTGAGATGACATCCTTTGTACTCTCTATTTTGATATCATAGTAAATATCATCCTCCTTCTCTTTCGTGTGGACCTACGTTATCACATTGGGAAACCACGTAAATTCAGTGTTATCTCTTTTGTTTATGCTTAAGTTTCATTTTCGTGTATTTGGTATTGTTGAACACACTAAGATAAGATCTATTTTGTTCTGCATTTGTTGTTAGGTTAGGACTCACTTTGTGTTATTATTGGGACGTGAGATACCCCTAAATCCCAACACTAATGTGTTCATTATAAGTATGAAGTATGAACCAACATATTATAGTTTCGACAAAGACCAAGTGCACTTCAGATAACTGCAGAGATGGCAATCATAGATGTCCCCCTAAGACAAAAGGGGGCAACATGAACAATTTATAGCTGCAACTAGAACATGAGATTAACAATACTAGTTCGTAAACTATACAGAAATATACAATAATTTAACAATATATATATATAGAAATAAAAAATCTCAAAAGCTTCTTTCCCATAGCTAGAGTTGAACTTTTTAAAGCAATGTACAAATTTTATTACATGAAATATAAAAAGAATATATGTTTAAGGACTATGCTAGTAAAATAAATAGTGCAATGACTCTCAGCCAAAAGAAAACATTGCCCTGTTCACCCTCCCCTGTCTCTTTGTCAACATTTGTTGAAATTAAAATCAGAAATTGCTAAGCCAAGTTCATTCCAAGTTCAATCAATATGAACACAGTAGATACTGTTCATGGTCCTATGAACGAATAATAATGATAAGAACATCATTGTGAATGTTGTGCATAAAAGTTTGAACGAAATAAGAGATGAACCTCAAGATGCTCGGTGCTTGAAGCTTCTCCATGAGCGATCAAAGTGTTGTATCCTTTCATAATCCCCTTGAAGATTATGTGTTCCGTTGCTTTTTCACGAGTCACCCACATGCTATAGGCACACTTGATACATGGGCATTTAATCTCTCCACTAGCACTTGCATTGTTCTTGCATTCAAGATCAAGGAATTCACCTAGCCCCTTCAAAAATTGTGTGCTTGACCTGGGCTCACTCATCCAACTTGTATCCATAATAGTTACCAGAGATCTGTAGAAGAATCACCCAACAATACAAGTAGAATTTCTAAGTATGCTGATCGCTGAGAGAAGCATAGCATCAAGATTACACGCTTTGATCGTCTATCCTCATTTTGTAGTTAACCTCGCTATGGTTAACTTCATTCTGGGGTTAGCCTTCAGTTTGGTTAATACCCAAAAACAAAAACACTTGGAATTTGTATCGATTCCATGACAGTCAATAATCTCCATTATTTATCGAACCAATTAAGAAAAATGTTGTTTTATAAATTCAAAACATATATATGACTATAAGCACTTGGGTTAATTGCAAGTATCAAACCGAAAAAGAACAACATAACGCGAGTAGCCAAGTTTCCTGAACCGCATTAACTACTTTTTCCATTCCCTTCATGTTTGGTTTAGATAGGGTTTTTTCAGTATCCGTAGCTCTTGTTGGTGATTTTAGTGTCACCGGTTACATTTAGTGTAATGGATTTTATACGTGTGTTTCAAAGGGATTGAACTTTGTTCTAAAACAAGTATGGAGAGAGTGGGAGTGCACGCTTGTATTAGTCTAAGTCGGTCCCGGTAATATTTAGGGGGCAACGCCCCCTGAACGCAAAACGGGGGTCCCGCTGCCCGGTCAGCGGGCGGGGTCCTATATAGGGTTTATAATGGAAAATTCTTGATTTTTCTGTGGTATGATTGTGAATCCTATAACTTGGTAACTCCCGTTTTCACAGTTTTGAGTTTTAATTTCAGATGATCAGTTTGGGGACACACACAAACTTTGAAGACACTCTATATTTTTCTCTAGTTTTGATCKTGATTTCTGCCAAAATCAAGATTGTTGCTTTTACAATTATCCCAATTCGGATTTCGTGATACCAGGCATATACGGTCGAAATATCGAATTTGGAAAGTGATTCACACGATTGTAGAAGAAATCCGGTTATACTTCAACAATCAAATTCGATATTCTTTCGGTTTTCTGCAATCATGACTACCAGTGAATCTGTGAAGGACATGACTTCGAAGTTTAACAAGTTGGAGAAGTTCCAGGGGAATGATTTTCGTCGCTGGCAAAAGAAGATGCACTTTCTTCTCACCACTTTGAAGGTTGTGTATGTTCTGAGTACACCAATGCCTGAACTCATGGAGGATGAGACACTGGAACAAACCAGGAAGAGGAACAAGTGGGAGAATGATGACTACATCTGCAGGGGTCATATTCTGAATGGTATGTCTGATGCTCTCTTTGATATATACCAGAATATCAAAAGTGCTAAGGAATTATGGGATTCTTTAGAGTCTAAATATATAGCAGAAGATGCTTCTAGTAAGAAATTCTTGGTTTCTGATTTTAACAATTACAAAATGGTAGACTCTAGGCCCGTAATGGAACAATACAATGAACTTATTCGAATTTTGGGACAATTCACACTTCACAAAATGAACATGGATGAAAGCATTGCTGTGTCAAGTGTGATTGACAAATTACCACCATCCTGGAAAGATTTTAAGCACACTTTAAAACATCAGAAAGAGGAAATGTCTTTGGTACAATTGGGTAGTCACATTCGGATTGAGGAATCACTCCGGGTTCAAGAATGTGACAAGGTGAAAGGGAAGGTTGATGTTGGGCAGCCTTCTGTTCTTATGGTTGAAGAGAAGAAACACAAAAATGACACCAAAGGAAAGGGCAAGAAACGTAAGTATGATGGCCATGACAAATCCAACAAGAAAGCCAAGGAATTGGTTTGTTGGGTGTAACAAAATTGGACACATTAAGCGTGATTGCCGTGTGAAACTCAACAAGTATGAAGCTGGAAATAGTGGTAGTGGACAAGGGTCTAAGGACCAAGGTCCACCTAGAGGTCAGTTTTTCAATGATCTTTGTAATTCTACCCAGAATTATGTTTCACTAATCCCTGAAATTTCATATGTGCAGGAGGATGATTTCTCTTGGTGGCTTGACTCGGGTGCTACTAGCCATGTGTGTAGACATAAAGAATGGTTTGAGAAATTCGAACCAAATTATGATGGATCGGTTCTACGCATGGGAGACGAGTCAATGAAGCCAATTCTAGGAAGGGGTGTTGTTAGTTTGGTGTTTACTTCTGGAAAAACAATTACTTAGTTTAATGTGTTGTATGTACCTAAGGTTCGAAAGAATCTTGTGTCTAGTGGCTTGTTAAATCGTATGGGTTATAAACAAGTTATGGAGTCGGATAGGTATATCCTATCCAAGTGTGGTATGTTTGTTGGATTCGGATACTATTGTGATGGCATGTTTAAACTTAATGTAGTAAATAAAGTTGCCTCTAGTAGCAATTCTGTGTTTATGACTTCTACTTCTAAAGTAGAGAATTCTATGCTTTGGCATGCTAGATTAGGTCATGTTAATTTTAGAAGAATGCATGAAATGTCTAAAGTAGGTTTGATTCCATCTTTTGACATTAAAGCTGAAAAGTGTAAGACTTGTATGCTTACAAAAATCACGAAACAACCGTTTCCTAATATTAAAAGAGATTCGGGTATTTTGGATTTAATTCATAGTGATCTTTGTGATTTCCATGCTACTCCTTCACTTGGCAATAAAAAGTATGTGGTTACTTTTATAGATGATTCAACTAGGTTTTGTTATGTATATTTATTACATGTTAAAGATGAAACTTTAGATAAATTTAAAATTTACAAAACCGAAGTTGAATTGCAATT